CTTTTTACTTGCTAACCTTGGGTTTGTCAGTGTCAGCAAGCCAGCAGCTGTCTGAGTGATGAAAAGCCTATAGCTCCAGTGGGCCGGGAGCAGGAGGCAGAGCTGAAGCCCAAGGTTGAGGAGCTTTTACCCAGCCCCTAGAGCCTGGCACTTTGAACTTGGACTTAAAGCCTCCAAACTGTAGGAGAATAAACTTTTGTCTGTGCAAGCATCCCATTGTGGTATATCTTCTGTTAGAGCAGCACAGAGGTAACAAAAATATTACATTTTTAAACTTTATATTGTGATTCACAGAGCAAATCCGTTTTCCCTTTGACAATTCATACACATCTCGTTTTGTCATTGACTGCAATACCCTCAATGTAACATGACTCCTCCCATTTCTTCCCTGTGTTTCTTATTTCCATTCCTCCTTCTCTACCAACCCTTCCTGCCAGGAAGCAATTTTCTTAAAAGTGTGGTATTTCACCTTGTAGGCAGTGGAGGAGGTGAGTAAGGTTATGTTTACTTTGCTATATTAAGATGTATTTACTTTTTTTCTGAGTTTGGACTTTGTTTTGCTTTAGGGGCTGGAGAGGGAGAAGTATATTATTTAATTTGGAAAGCCTGACTTCCTTGTGCTGGTCTCCATGGGTGATATCCAAATAAGCACACTCATGATGGACGGTCAGGTCTCCCTGCATGTGGTTTATCTTTTTATGGAGTGGGAATATCTCTACTAGAAAACTCTAAGTCATATTATACATTGAGTTTTCTTTTTTTTTAAATTGTGATTTGGGTGAAGATTTACAGAGCAAATTCACTTTCCATATAGCAGTTCACATATACTTTGTCGCATGTCATTGACCACAGTTTACCACAACACAACAGCTCCCCTCCCACTTCCTCCCCATAGTTACCTCTTCCCAGTCCATCCCTCCATGCACTCCTGCCCCTTGAGCTGTCTCCCTGTGTATAAGCAGCCCTTCTTTCTCCCATGATTGTTTTCTCCAAGGAGTGTATCTACTTGAGGTAAATGTTCAACTCATATGCCTGTATGTTGTTTGGCTGGAAACCACAGGTGTAGGTTCAATTCCAGACCTGAAGGGCAGCTAGGGGCCATAGTCTCAGTGGTTCCACCAGGCTCTATTGGACCAGCAAACCTGGTGCCCACTTTTTTTTTTCCCTCCAAATGATTCTGAGTTTTGTTCCACATTGTTCTCCCTCTCTATCAAGGATCTCCTACACAGATCCCCTTCCAAGTAGATGACAGTGGTAGCCAGTCACCATCTAGTTCTTCTGGTCTCATAGTTGTATAGGCTGCAGATTGGATGGTATACCAGTCTCTAGGACTAATTGTTTCCATGAATTTTGGTTTTCTTCATTCTTCTTTGCTCTGGATGAGGAGAGACCCATCATTGCATCTAGATGGCAGCTTGCTAGCTTTTAAGATCCCAGTCACTACTTGCCAAGTAGGAGGTGGAACAGTGTTTTGTATAGTATGTTATGCCAAATGAGCTTGATGTCCCCTGTGACTATGGTCCCAAGCCCACAGGTTCAACTACTTGGGCCCTCTGAGTAGCTGGCTGTGACCAAGCAGTGACCACCACCTTGCCCCTTGTCAGCTCTACTATACACCTGGGAATTCTGATCATTCACATAAACTTATAGGACCCATTGTCTGCCAACCCTATATATGTTCTTGGATACACTCCCCATTTCACAGACATACCTAATCATTTAGCCTGCCCACCCATCTATCCATCCATATACCCACGTTTGCCTTCACTGACAACGCAGCACTGTATGTCCTAAAGGGTTCATATTTGTTGTCCGTACCTCCCATGCACCTCTCTATGTCTTTCTGATCCTCAGTGGTGCCATATTGGTCACTCACATTTGGTACATTGCCCTTCTCTTCACCCAAATCAATACTTATCTCTATCTATCTAACAGCCTTCCCTCCCTTCCCCTCCCACCCCTGGTAACTAACAAAAAAAATTTCCTCCAATAGATAAACCTTTCCTTAACTTTTACAATAACGGACTAATACAATATTTGTCCTTTTGTGACTGACTTATTTCACTCAGCATAATGTCCTCCAAGTTCATCCACGTTATGGGAACATTATTCTTTAGTGTTGCATAGTATTCCATTGTGTGTATGTACTATAGTTTGGTTATCCATTCCTCAGTTGATGGACTTCTAGGTTGTTTCCATCTTTTGGCTATTGTAAACAGTTCTGCGATGAACATGGGTGTGCATATATCTGTTACACAGAGTTTTCTTGGGGAAAGGAAAAGAGCATTTAAATTCCTCTCGGTTCAAATGAATAAAGATGACAAAAAAAGAATTGATGTATTTGAATTGTGGTGTTGCTACAGAAGAGTGAATATACCATTCACTGCCAGAAGAACAAACAAATCTGTCTTGGAAGAAGTACAGCCAGAATGCTCCTTGGAAGCAACAAGGGTGAGACTTTGTCTCTCTTTGGACACATTATTCGGAAGGACCAATCCCTGGAGAAGGACATCATGCTCAGTAAAGCACAGGGCCAGCAAAAAAGAGAAAGACCCTCAAAGAGATGGATTGTCACAGTGGCTGGAACAGTGGGCTCAAACATAGCAAGGATTGTGAGGCAGTGTTTCATGCTGCTGTGCATAGGTCGCTGTGCATTGGAACTGACTCAACAACACATAACAATAAATATGACTCATAGCGAACCCTCCTTGGGCTTCCAAGCCAGTGTCTCTACAGAAATAGTCTTCCTTCCAAGGAGTGGCTGGTGGGTTTGAACCTCCAGCCTTCTGGTTAGCAGTCAAATGCCTTAGGCACTACACCACCACAGCTGCCATAACAGTATCAACAAAGGCTCTTAATGATTTTCTTTTAAACAATGTCTAAAGGAAATATAAGCATAATTACATTACAGTGTAATGAAAATAATTCTAGTGCCAAATGCCCTATTTTCCTATTTCTGAAAAATCTTTAACTTCTGAGCATAAAACTTCCCAGATTTCAAGTGCTTTAATAAAGTTTTAACTAAGCCTGATGTGTTTTGTGGGTTTACTCTCTTATCTTTCTAAGTGAGAGTTACTTGAAAACTCTAACTGTGGCATCTTGTTTCGTAAGTGGTCTTTGGGCCATTAGGAACATCCCATCAGCTGAAACTTCAGAGCTGTATCATTAGGGGTACTGAAAAGCTGGGAGGGCAGTACTGTGAAGACCACTGGCAAAAACACACATGAAGCGGAGGCTGGGCACCAAACAGAAGCTTGCTCTGAGTTCCCTGGTTGGTAGAGGTACCTAGCGACGCACCTGCTGGGTGCTGAGGGAGGTGCACAGGGAGCAGATGGCCTCAGCATCCTCTGGGGTCTTCTTCTTTAATTGCAGGAGCTGGGCTGCTTGGATCAGGGGCTCCATCGTCTGAACTGCTCCACTCTGGTGAAGGTTTCTTCCCCGGAGCCACTCCTCCAGTTGACTTATATTGTACCTAAAACACAGGTAAAAAGTGAGCTTTGTTCAACTGGTCACCTTGATTCAGTAGGATGAAGACATCAGTTGTGTTTTTCTTTCGTAGCCTAGATGTAAGTAGTTATCATCCTTCCCACCTTAATTATGGGAGTGGAAGCTTGAAAAGGGCCTGGCAGTCAGTTGAATGAAGAACGAATTGGTGCTTAAAACCAAGCAAAGATGAAATACCCGAAGTGTTTGTATAAATCAACAGGAAGAAAGGCACTAAATATTCAGAATTAAAACAATTTACATTGAATATGTACAAGCATATTTATATTTCGATATGAGCCTTCATGCCTCATACTCCTTGAGTTTTCTCTTTGACCTATTCACACTGTATCTACCACCTTACAGACTATGTAAACTTCTCTAAGTTGGAACTAATTTGTTTACCAAGTCCCATATCTCAGTGTTTGATGACTTTACCAAGCACGTTTTACAGAAAGGTGATGGGTTTGAGCCCCATGCTCCCTGTGATGTGGACTATCAAGGGGATGTGGATTGGAGTCTGAGAGATGAAGGACCAGTGTTCTGCTTGTAGCTTGTGTGAGTGGTGACTCCATAGTGTTGCTGGAATGTGGCACTTCTGACCTACCTGAGCTGCATGCCTGTGCTCCAAGAGCAGACGTCCTTCCTCAGGAGCAGGTTGTTGAGCGTCACCGCGTTGATCATGTAGAAGAGCTGTTTGAACACCTGCTGGATGATCTCAGGGTCCAGGCCCTGGTCGCACATGACTGTGTGAAAGGTATTCATCTGGCGGATGATGGCTTCCAGGCAGTATGAGTTGTCCCCATCCACCATGCTAGAGGAGCGCTTCCGGTAGCCCATTGGCTTCACGCCAGAGAGACCCTGAATGCTCTCATTTTCCAACATGGCAGAAACTGAAAGAAGAGCATGATTAGAAAAGATTCCATGCTCCCCACAGACAAGACCTATTTTGGGGCTGCTCAGATCAGACAGTACTCATGCAGGTGGACAATGCTGAGATGGTCCTAACTTACAACAGGTGGCAGAGAATTCCTAATCTATTGGTCTGTACATGAAATAAAATAGCTGTGGATCAAATTCTTCACTTAAGTTTGTTGATGATGAGACGAAGGCAATGAGCATGGACCAGCTTGATTCTGTACTGTCTTCTGTGCCGAGACTCCAAAGTCTGAGAATTGAGAGACCTGGGTGTAGTTCCAGCCCAGTCAGTGATAATGTAAATATGTGTATTGAGTATCAGTTAACTATGCACCAGGTGCTTTATGGTCAGTATCTCGTTCAATCTTCCAACAACCCTAAGGAAGTGCTATTGATTTACCTATTTTACAGATGAGGAACTTGGGGAATAAAGGGTCAACTAATTTGCCCCAGGTCACGCTCTCAGGAAGTGGCAGAGCCAGGATTTGGACCCAGGTCTGTCTGACTCCAGAACCGGAGCTACTCACTATCACGTTTTCCTGAGTCATAAAGTATTTCCAGCTTTATGTGTCAGTTCTCCCTGTGTGTGGTGAGAATAAATTAGCGCCCAATAAGAAGATTCCCAGATAGAAAGAAAGATTTGGAATGAACCTCATCCCAAGGGTTTATTTTTAAATTGTCCTGAAGGACTCTGCCCTTCTTGGAGTCCACGCATAACATGCTTGTGTTTTAAGAGGCTGGGGAAAGCACCATATAAGGGGTTCCAGGGGACATTTCCCCTCTAGTGTTCAGGGAGCTTAGTGAGTGACACATACACTTGCCAGAGCTAATTTTTCATTTTCTTTCAACTTAACCTACAGCTGCTCTTAATTTCAGTTTCCGGTTTCACGTTAAGTGCACAAGCACACTGCTTTGTACACAGCGAGCGTCAGTGGGTATGGTATTCACAGGATGAGTGCTTACTCCTGTGCTCCTTTTCATGAACACACTTAGTGCTTTTTTCATGAATAGAAGTATCTAATGGGCAAGAAGATGATAGAGTTCATTGTCTATGCATTTGTCCTTTTGAATTTGTATTTATTACCTACTAAAAATTGTCCACTTGAGGAAACAATCCCATGATATACAGAAAAAAGACATAAAGGAAAAAATATCTAGATTCTCACCACCCAACAGTCATGTATTTTTGCGGGAAGATGTTGAAAATGCCCTAGCTCTTCATGAGCACACTGCATATAACTCCTTACTACCTTCATCTAGGGGAAGTCCTCAAAGGGCTTTCTGGAGGCCATTCCTAATACATCCAGTTCCTCAAGGATAGGCAAAGGAGTCCTGGTGGTACAATGGGGAAGCACTTGCCTGCTAACCAAAAGGCTGGCAGTTCAAACCCACCCGTCGACTCCTTGGGAGAAAGACCTGGTGATCTGCCAACCTACTTCCAGCAAGATTACAGCCTAGAAAACCCTATGGGGCACTTCTGTTCCTTCACACTGGGTCACTATGAGTTGAAATCAACTTGATGGCACCAAATAATAACAAGGATAAGCAGAGCTTACCACAGCCCCCCAGACCTCATTCCAGACCCCAAGATGAGTGATGGCAACTTCCTGTTGTCAGCTTACCTATCATAGGCTGTAACATGCCCTCCGCAATTTTAATGAGCTGCTGGTAGATCTGAATGGAAAGGTCGCTCAGCACCTGACGGTATTCAGTGAGGTCAAAGTTCTTAAGACAGTGCTCATTCTGCTTCGCAGTGTTCTGAGTCATGAAACCCTGCAGAGGGAGGGGTGTGTGTTACAGAGTCTAGGCTGCTGGGCTCATCAGGACTCCTGTGGCTCCTGTCACTTTAGCAATCTCCTCACTCCTGGGGCTCTATCAAGTCTTTCTATTTGTAAGAATTTCTATAAAATCCTGTCACTTCTGTGAGGGCTCAGTGACAGCCCTGGAACTTTGAAGGCAGTGTGAAAACCCAATATGTAGAGAAGTTAGAATGCATAATTAGAAAGGGCAAATGCACTTAGTACAAATCCCTGAGGCAGGGGAAAAAAAGATTTTATAGACGCAAACACACACATTTACATAAAACAAGGAAAACAGACAAAACAGGTAAACCACCCACACATCCACCCTGAGGTGAAGGGATTTTTCTAAGGCAGCAAAGCTGGGTTTGCAGTAAGTCCAGGAAGAGAAGGATCAAGCCTTTCTGATTCTTGTCCAGTGTTCTTCCCCTATACTCTCCCTCTCTCTCTCCCTCTCACACACACACTCTCACTCACTGCCGTTAAGTTGGACCCGACTCATAGAGACCCCTCCTCCTTGGGTTTCTGAGGCAGTATCACTGTGGAATGATACTCAGCCCCTAAAGGACTATGGCCCTGGGTCAGAGTAGAAATCTTTATAATGAAAGTTGCATATGGATTCTATCCCTGGGTAGCATGGTATCAGAATTAACAGATGAACTGAAATGATTCCACAGTGACAGTATTATGCCCTCTTAGCTTTCTATATTAACAAGGTGAAGTGACGTGTAAGTTAAAAGAATGCAATCCTACTTCCGTAGTGATACTGCCTCGGAAACCCAAGGAGGGGTCGTTATGAGTCAGGGCCAACTCGACGGCACATAACAACAACAACAATCTCAAAATGACACGTGCGACCATTGTCCCTCTATATCACAGCCAAGGGAAAGCAACAATATGCAACAAGACCAGTATTTTTTCAAAAGGGTGACCATCCTCAGCAAACCTCTCATTCCATGCCAAGTCACAACACAACTCTTACTAGAAATGGAAGCAGGATGACGAGAGGATAATTGTGATCTCTAAAATATACGCACAGAAAAAATAGGGACAAATTTAGGGGCTCTCGTTTATGGCATGAATACACTATCACACCTAACTAAAAATGCACAAACAGCAGAAGATGAACTAGATGACTGGGACTTCCTAAAAATTAAACATGTATGTGCATCAAAAGACTTTCCCAAAAGAGTAAAAGGAGAACCTATAGACTAGGACAAAAATTTTGGCAGTGACAGTATCTGACAAGGGACTAATCTCTAAAATTTATGGAAAATTTCAACATCTCAACCACAAAAAGACAAACAACCCAATTATAAAATGGGTAGAGGATAAGTACAGACACTTCACCAAAGAAGACATTCAGGCAGCCAACAAACACATGAAGAAATGCTCACAATCACTAGCCATTAGAGAGACACTAATCAAAACAGCAATGAGATATCATCTCACCCCAGCAGTAATAGCCAAGTTCAAAAACCAGAAAACAACAAATGCTAGTGAGGGTATGGAGAAATTAGAACTTTCATACAGTGCTGGTGGGACT